CGTTGGTTTCCTCCGTCACTGAAGCAAGCAAGCCTCATGTTAGCTTCAAGCTGCCTGGCTGCCGGCTGCCATCTTGGCTGGCAATTAATTTGCATATCTCGCTGATTAGCCAATGGGAAGGGTAGTGGACGTATGCTAATTACCATGTTTCTCTTTTATTAGATAGGATAATAATTATCATGGCGAATATTTGCTTAGTTTATTTAGTGCCAGGTACTATAATAAACACTTTACATATACTATCTCATTTAATAGTACCAATAATGTATATACTATCATTAACCACATTCTACACCTAAAGAAACTGAGGCACTTGGAAATTACTTAAGCTCTAAAGATTATTTGATTACACCATTCCTATCAAGAACACATTTGCTACAATCAGTAGAACATCTGTGAAATATCATCTCTCAAGTGATAAAAACAGCCCTTAAGACACTATCAACTTCTATTAATAAACAATATTCTCTATCTTATGGTTAAAAAGAAAAAATATTAGCTTTCCAGTTAAATATGGAACCTGAACACACAGTTCAGCAAAGAATCCAAAGATAAAGAGAACAGGAGCAGATACAACTTCAGATGAGAACTGTCCCAGGGTGTAACTTGGTTTCTATCTGTTCCTCCATCGCTGATTTTAAACTCTAATCAGAAAACTTGACCTTGTATAAAACTGGAACATTTCAGATGTTACTTAGATTAAAGAGAATTGCTTTTCTCTGAGAGTTACCAGAGGTTCAATTCTCCACCCATTAGTATAATACTTTGGGTTATGACAGAAGAAAGAAAATCAAACCAGAAAAGTATCAGCTGATAAGGAAACTGTTGCCACACTTGAAACATACCTGTGTGTCACAGTCAGGCCGAAGATTAAGTTCTTCACAGCATTCCCTGGATATCCTTAAAAATATATATTCTTTTGTTTTTTCTTCAATAGTAGCTTCATAAACCTTCTCTTTGGTTCCCTGGGTCTGTACTAACTTCTCTTTAGGGACTGGTAATAAATAAACAGCATTGACTTTGGTCATCACAAGCCGTCCTGCCAAAGTATCTTCAGAAAGTGTTTCAGTAAGCTTAAAACGACCAAAAAGTTGTCCATTCTGAGCATACTTTGCACCTCCAGAAACTCCAGTGAGCATGAAGCTTGCCAGAATCTGCAATTGCACTTTAAGATTGAACCTAAATCAGAAGTGGAAAACGAGTTTGAATATTCTACAACAAAAACTTAAAAACTAGAAGAGTAATAGAAAATAAATCAAATATAAACATACAAAAAATTAAAACTTCATTATCAATTCCACTCTTTTGGGATACAAACTACGTACTGTCCAACTTTAATCCAAGCTAGAAACAAAGAAAACTTTTTTTTAGTGAATTAACTCTCATTCAGTAACCAGACAAACATTAAATTGTGTTGAATACACACAATTTTTAAAGTATGAAGATTTAAATGAAGCTAAGTATGATTTTTTTAATAAAATGAAATATTACATAAGTGTCTGACCACACCATTGGGACAAATAAGGCTTTAAAATCACCTAGAACCAGAAGGAAAGGCACTGCATGAAAACTCAATGGACTTTCATTAAACTGATGTTCTCCAAGTGGATTTTACCAAAAAATTCTAATCATAAATTTCTCTTTCAATGATTAACATTTCTCTGTTAATAACATCCAAAATAAATTCCCATTCATGGCTACATAGAGGCAAGTTCAACCTTTCTAAAGACCCTTATTACAAACTGCCAAACAGCCCTCTAGAAATAGACCAACGCTGTTTGCCACCAGTGCTCATTTTGTATTGCAGATACTTTTAGCCCCCTCTTAAAGTGGCTTGAAGCTATTCCAAGGTGCTCTTGCAGTAAATTTTCATCTACTTAATTTCTTGATCAAAATATGACCTCCACAAATTTGTAGGGTTCATTCTTTTTTCATTCAGATAAATTTCTACTTAAAAACAATAATCCAAAAGCTTATTGATATTTAGTTATAAGTTCTAAAGTAATGTATATGGAATAATTTTTAAACTTTAATAAAATATTAAACAAGCATAAGTTAATTTATAATATTTTCTAAATTTCTGGTATGGTATTCCAAAATGATCTCTCAAGATTCCTATCACCCAGCCAGTGGGGCTCTGTGGTTGAGCGTCAACCCATGAACCAGCAGGTCATGGTTCGAATTCTGGTCAGAGCACAAGCCCAGGTTGCAGGCTCGTTCCCCAGTTGGGGGCGTGTAGGAGGCAGCTGATCTCATTATTGATGTCTCTCTCTCTCTCTCTCTCTCTCTCTCTCTCTCTCATTCTCTCTCTCCCTCTCCCTTCCTCTCTCTGAAATCAATAAAAATATTTTAAAAAAAAAAAGATTCCTGTAAGCTTGTAAGCTCTGTCTCATCACAATATTTATAACTTACCATAGTGTTCCTTTCTCAAGGAAAAAGAAACTACAATATAAATAAAATACATGCATATTAATACTGTGAATAATGAATATGATACAAGCCACTGCCCTTGCTATTTGATAACTGATCATTTCATTAGAACTGTCTATAGAAACAATTGATGTCTTTTAAAAGACCATCAATAGGCCACAATTGAAAGTCTTAGAGTAATGAAAATGATATTCTGATTTTGTAAATCTTACATGTATTTAATTTGAATAAAATACTTTCCAAAAGTTAGATAATATTTAATCTATAAATAGAGTAACACAAGGTATCTTTTAAGTTTTCACTCTTCCTTTTCTGAATATATCCCTCAGCGAGTATTCAATATCTATTAATAATATTAATGATAAGGTATTGATAAGGCACCTTGGAACTCATGTATTTTATTAATCACTGTCACACCAATAAATTCCATAAAAAAGGGAGGAGGGGAATAAGGCAGCTTGGGAAAGAAAGATGTGTTGGTTAGGGTATATTTAAAGGGAAAACTACTTATAAAAAATGTGTTTGTGCCTCATAACTGTGGTTCAATTTTTAAGGTTCGTTTCATTTTATTAAAAAGCAGAATGCTACTACCAAATACAACAACTATTTCATTAATATCTTCCTTCACTCAAACTTTAATTTTTCAGATTATCTTTTCTATAATGATTCAAATAAGTTTTCATTTAAACACTTGGTCTTAATCTATGGAATATGGATAAAATGTAAAATATGTTAAAGCATTTATAAACTGCTATAAAGGTATTTTATTATTATCAATTAGTTTTCCTGAAGATTTAAATCATTTCATACTTAAAATTCCTTAACAAAATATGAAGTCTCTTTCAGTTTTTGTACATTTACTAAACAAATATTCACTGAGTGCTTGCCCTGGCTACCATGAATAGAAACCTCCTAGAGAGCTGGGACCACAAGTTTAGACTCCCAGCACCTGGCAGAGTCTTGTGGAAATGAACTATGTAAAATGCTAGGACTACCAGGATGGGCAAGACACAGTTCTTGCCTCAAGAAGCTCATGTACAGCTACTAAATAACAGCCACTGAATAACAACCATTTTACTATCTGTCTTCACATAGGAACACCTCCATTTTCAAAATGAAAAATAACATCCAAAGGGGAGATAACCAAAAATTAAGAAAAGTGTTTCCAATGTAACTTACTTGCTTACTTCTTTATACTGAGCTATCTCCTCAATATAAAGAAGGTCATGCAACCGTGACTGATAGTTGGTCTTTGTCAATGACTTGTCTAAAACGGACTGGGTAAATAGCTGGTCAGCAGAGAGAGGAATTTGGTATCTGATAAGAAGGCTCTTCTCCAAATCAGTAGTTTCATTAGGTTCAAACTCTATAATAGTCTTAGAAGAAGAATCCCAACGCTTAGCTGTGGTTACTAGCTGTTGTTTTGCGTGCATCAGGTACTCAAGATCTAGATGGAAACAAAACACACATTTATAAAAGAGCACAACATTAAAATTACCAAATAATGCCCTGAATATTTGGTAAGAGAATTTTATATGCTAAACCTCAAATTCTTAAAAACAGAACAATATAAAAACCCATTTGACAGAGTATTTTCCCCACATCAGAAATATTTTTTGTCTAGCTTAACAAAAAAACAAATAGGAATCCATATAGAAAACATCTTTTTTAACACCAGACTAGGCCATTCTAGAAAGTGTTATTAACCGCTTAAAAATACAGATTAACATTTAGAACTTAACTCTCTAGTCAAGAGAAATCTGATCTAGGAAGAAGATATGATAAATTCCTCATAAGACAAAAATCTATCAGGTGACAATCACTTTTCTCCTCCTCCCAACCAATACCTGTCCCATGATAGAAAGAGAAGATCAGGAAACTGTGAAAGGTTAAATCTCTCCTCGTGTGGTAAAACAGTGAAACTCTGAAAGTCAACTTACAACAAACAAAACCCTTTTAGGAAATATTCATGAGAAACACCAATAATTCCACATTAAAATGAAATATGATGTACCATTCAAATGTCATTTTTTTTTAAAAAAATCCAATTTAGCCTCAGTTAAATTATATTGTGAGTAGGGCACAATATCGAAATGAATGACTGTTCAACTCTGCAGAATACCAGCACAGGGTGAAATACGTTGTAACATAGATTCTGAGCCCTGGGGAGCCTCCGTCTGTCTGCAGAGCAAGCACATTACTTTTTTATTGGGTGGAACATACAATACATACACCTATAAATATGAAACTTAACCAAAAGAAAAAAGGTTCCTTAATTGACTTATCAGGCCGAGATTCAGTTTTCATCTAACGTAATTGGAAAGATGATTTCACAACTCAAGTTAAAGTTTTAGGGAAAAAAATAACAAAAAATGTAAACAGAGATTAGAGTCAGCCTCCAAAGTACAAAGAAAAGTTATTGTGTGCTATCTTTGACATGAGAGCCTAAGGCATAATTGCCATGTTTTGCTTAATAAGAGATTTTGCTACATTATATGTTACATATAAATTATAAACATGTAGTCATCTACCAAGAGAAATTTCTCAATATTAGAAAGTAGCTTATCCTAGTATCTTAAGAACGATTACAATGTAAAGGCCCGAATTTAAAAATAAAAATGTAATAAAAAGAAGAACAGTAATTGCTCTAATCTCTAATCTTTGTTCCCTGAAAAGCATTTTATTACTATATACCAGTTTTATTATTTCTCAAATGGCAACATAAATACTATAATCATCAAGCTCTAAAGATGGTCTGCTCATTAAACATTTGTATTTTAAAATTCTCTGGATGAAACGATGATGGTCTTTTTTGCAATAGCGTCACAATTTCAGCTGACCCTGAACAACAAGGGTTTGAACGGTGCAGATGCACTTATACATAGATTTTTTTCCAATAAGTACCATATATTTCTTTTTTCTTAATAACATTTTCCTAATAACATTTCCTAATAACATTTTCTTTTCTCTAACTTACTTTAAGAATACAGTATAGCCCTAGGAGGTTTTGCTCAGTGGTTAGAGTGTCGGCCCACAAACTGAAGGGTCATGGATTTGATTCCCAGTCAAGGGCATGTACCTCGTTTGCAAGCTCGATCCCTGGTCCTGGTCAGGGCATGTGTGAGAGGCAACCAATTGATGTGTCTCTCTCTCACATCAATCTTTCTCTCTCTCCGTCTCTCCCCCTCCCTTCCACTCTCTCTAAAAATCAATGAAAAAAAATATCCTTGGGTGAGATTAACAACAACAAAAATAGAATTCAAGATTGGAATAACTAGTCTGGCACAAGATATGCTTCCCAACGTCCCTCTGATTACTGACAACAGTTCTCATTTCAGCCACATAATTACTATTCTAATAAAGCATCCAAAGGGTTGGTTTGTTTTGTCTTGCAGTAAGTAGTACAGAGCAGACTTGAAAATATCCTTAACAGGACCTGGAGAGTGGATAAGAAGAAAGTAAGGAGGAAAAAAACCCAGTGTTCTACATACTCAGCACAAGAGCCGGCACAAAATAAGCATGCAATAAATGCATGTTAAATATGGAATTTGCTCAAAACAGCTATATTTATCTAGGACTTTAAAAGAATGAGATGAAATGTTTCCTAATTCCAAAATTAGGTAACACACTCTTATCCTTAGAAAACATTTTTGTCTGGCTTTACAAGTCTTGACTGCCCAAATTAACAATAAACTAAAATCCAAAAAATCCCAAACTACCATTTCTGGTGTCCATTTCAACATCACTCTTTTCACCAAAACTGCTACATAGAAGATAAACACTTCTGAGCTTTTCCATGTTGTCTGTCCCTATTTTCAATCTCTTTGCAAAGCTAATAATTTTAAAAAGTTAAAACACGAAAGTAATAGCATAGGAGTATTTTTATACATTTTACATGCTTCCACTCAGTTACATTTATCTTTTGACAAATATACAATTTTTAAATATATTTTTCTATTACTTTCTGATCACATCATATTAAATATTACATAACATGTTCTTAATTTAGCAACTAAATTTGACAGTTGAAGATCATTTCTAGGTCATACTAAATTGTAATGTTAGTGTTAACATACACTGCTAGACACAAAGCAGAAAAATGTGTGATACCAAATTTCCAAATTTAAATATAAGAATTAATCTTCAGCCCTACCCGGTTTGGCTCAGTGGATAGAGCGAGCATCAGCCTGCGGACTCAAGGGTCCCAGGTTCGATTCCGGTCAAGGGCATGTACCTTGGTTGTGGGCACATACCCTGTGGGGAGTGTGCAGGAGGCAGCTGATCGATGTTTCTCTCATCGATGTTTCTAACTCTCTATCCCTCTCCCTTCCTCTCTGTAAAAAACTCAATAAAATATATATTTTTTTTAAAAAAAGAATTAATCTTCAACATGTAACTTTCAGAGACAGTCAAAGCAGAATTCCAAATCAATTTTGCCCAGCAAAAATTTTCCATTACTCAAAGTTGTGGTAGAAGGCATAAATGCAGTTTTCTAAGTAAGGGGAAAACTCACTAACTTCCTTCTTTTGTAGATGTTTTTTACCACACATTTTTGAGAGGTACATCTTTAATCCAAAAAAGTTTTTTTGAGAACATATTGTATCCTTTTCTGAACCCAAATTATACCAACAAGGGGAAAACACTGAAAAAAGCAAAGTTAAAGTTATATATGTTTCCCACTTTGCAGAATTGCCAAATGACTGGGGGGGGCGGGGGGGGGATTCATTCATGACCTGCAAACAAAAAAGGTTTGGATGCTTCGTGTAAAAGACAAACAAAACAAACTGTGGAGTATTTTCCCAATTCAAATTTGAATCACCTAAAGTAGGCAGGCTTTTTTTAGTTCAATAATGAGCAATAAATTAGAAAGGTGGCCAGCATGGCTCAGGGGTTGAGAGTTGACCTATGAACCAGGAGATCACAGTTCCATTCCCTGTCAGGGCACATACCCAGGTTGTGGGCTCGATCTCTGGTGTGGAGGGGTACAGGAGGCAGCCAACCAATGATTCTCTCTCATTATTGATGTTTCTATCTCTCTCTCTCTCTCTCCCTTCCTCTCTGAAGTCAATAAAAATATTTTTTTTAAAAAAAAGAAATGTCTGCTATGTACTTGATTTTAAGTTTCAAGGAGTAATAAATGAATATAACTAAGTTCCATGATCAAATCAGTTTGACAGAGCCCTTAATTACTGAGGTGCACTGGAAAATAAAGCATGCACCATTTTTATACATTTTACATGCTTCCAAACGTATTTGGAAATGAAACTCTTTACCTATTATTAATATGTATAACCCCTATTAATTTCTGTGGAACAGTTTTAGAAACATCACCAGGGGTTCTCAAACTTTTTAAACAGGGGGCCAGTTCACTGTCCCTCAGACCGTTGGAGGGCCGGACTATAGTTTAAAAAAAAAACTATGAACAAATTCCTATGCACACTGCACATATCTTATTTTGAAGTAAAAAAATAAAACGGGAACAAATACAATATTTGTATTTGCATGTGGCCCGCGGGCCGTAGTTTGAGGACCC